CTTGTCGACGTTGTGGACAACGTCGACCCGGATGGAACGAGGTCCGCTTTGGAAAATCGCGAGCACGATCCGGCTGAGACCGCGTGTTGCGTTTCTGGCGCGAATGAAAGTGCGGGATACGTGTATACTGGCTTGAAAAGGAAAGTAGACCTCGATTCTAATGCTTCTTCTTTTTCCCTCCTTTTTTTCGTTTCTACTCGGGTTTTGCCGCGTTCGATTTAAAAATTCGCAACATTGAAGTCACTTTGTTCTTCAGTTTCGGTAGGGAATGGTACTTTTCGAAATACACTGGAAAACTTTTGAGGTCCTTTGCATATCTCAAACGAGGTGACATCGTCATCGACTTTAGCAGATTAAATAACTTTCTAAGTCGGTTCCAAGTCAGAGACTCAGGAGATTCGAGGAAATATGTGATAGGGAAGAATCTGATTTCGTTGCATGCAGAAACCGGAAGATCTTTTGTTCGGTCGTCGATCGCAGTTCCTGGCTAATTAATGACACGCTGCCGATTAGAAATCCCGAGTAAGCCACGCGACGACAATGGCCACCTGCCGATCACGAATCCTAGAGGCCGCTTTCGACAAGGACGATAACGCTGTGGAAAACGACGGGGAACAAGAGAAAGATACAGATATCGGCGGAAAAGAGATACAGATGGAGGATCGCGGCTATTTGCACGGCGAAAGCGAGCAAGCGGTTTCCACTTGGTGTTATCCGACGCCGAGCGACGCGACGCGACGGTGAAAACGATGCCTAACCGATATTCTTCCTTCAACTCGATCGGTTTCCTGGATTAATCTATTTCGCGTGCTATCACTGACGATAATGAGCAGGAGAAACAGGAGGCATAGGCATATGCAAATCGGGGAGCATTTTTTATTAAAGAAATAAAAAAAAATCGTCCTCGTTAATATCAATTTTCTTTTCAAGAGACTTCTTCGTGTTTAAAAAATTCCAAATAATATATTTCATTTCTGACAGGAGATTCCGTAATATACTTTATCTTTTAATACAAACATGTAATATGTACACTTGTCAAGACGAAAATGCTGCGATCAACATCAGCCAGTTAGGAGGTTGTGTCGGTAAAATAAAAATTTGATCAGCGCCATCTAGCGTTTGGTGTTTTGGAGCTGCTCCTGGTAGCAGGATCGCAGGAAAGCGAGGAGGTATCCGGAGTAAGAGGTCTCCCGCGCAGCTGCGCGCATGCGCGGTACAGCTGGAGTGGGGCCACC